ACAGGCAACTCCGAAATCAGCAGGGCTCTCCTCAGGTAGACAGCCCCAGGGACGGCGCGCAGAGCCGCAGCTGCAGGTGCAGCCAGGAGGCAAGCTTCCTCTACCTTGCAAACGGGGCCTGGAATACGGTCTCTCTCCTCTTCCTTCGTCTCTTCTGCCACGTCGCGCAGCTTAGCTGGCTGCTTGGCATCTTTCTCGTTCCTTTTTGGTTTTTTCGCCTGAACAGCCAAGCCTCCACGCCGCTTCCTCTTGGTCGCCGCCATCTTGCCCGATCTCCTTCGGTCTCGGCTTTCCTTCCGGCTCCGCCGCTCGCTCCCCTTTCCGATCTCTATGATACCGTACGCTCGGCTCTGCAGTCCCCCGGCTCTATGGTACCTCTTTCCGGTTTCTCGTAACGCACTCGCGCCTCTCTAGGCCACCTCTAGCTCTGTGGTGACGGTGGCCGTAGTGGCTGTCTGGTCTGAAGAGAGTGGCGGGAGCAGCTCTACTCCCTCCACACCTACTCGGGAAGCGCGGCTCGCTTCCCCCTGGCTGCGAAGGGCTGTCGGACGCCCGGACCCCGCCACAAAGGTAAGGTTTCCGCGCCTCGGGGGCCGGAGGATCTTCCGAGAAACTGGGGCCCGCCCCCCATCGACTTTTCTGTTAGGGGCAAGGTTGGGGGCGCCGGACAGCTCAAACCCGACTCTGCGGGGACACGCAGCCCCAGCTTGGCGTGGCGAAACTGGCCTCAAGTAGAACTACCGTGGTAGTTGCCTGTTGCCTCTGTTCACAACTTTTCCTGTGTTACTGGCCCCTTACTAAAGACGAGGAAACCGTAGCGTAGAGACAGGTGTAATTTTCCCCACAGTTACAGAGAGTTACAGTGACAGAGGTGGGTCCAGTCCCTGTCCGGCCGAGTTTAATACCCAGGCCTCTTCCACCTCGCCTCAGCGCAGGTTGACTTCGCGAGCCTTGCGGGCATTGATCCGGAGTTTTATTGTCGAATCTCATCAGGTGTTTCGCGATCCGCAGCAGCAGGTGTCGGCACCGGGAACGTCCCTTGGGGCCAGATGTGCAGTGGACATGCCCCTCCTAACTCCACAGATCCAAGATGAGAATGATTACAGCTTAGTGGCCAGCCTTGACAACGTTAGGAATCTCTCCACTGTCTTGAAGGCTATTCATTTCCGAGAACACGCTACCTGTTTCGCTACTAAAAATGGAATCAAGGTTACAGTGGAAAATGCAAAGTGTGTGCAAGCAAATGCTTTTATTCAGGTATGCAAACAGGTATCTTTAAGCCTATGACATACGATATAATTCACCCAGTTTAATGAATACCACAGGGCTTAATAGACATCATTTAAGTTAGAGAACAGTGTATTTGAATTCTTTCTCCTGGCAAATTCTCTTCTTGTTTTATAGAGATAATGGTTAGTAATAATAATGTCTAAGTTTTACTAAGCTAAACTATGGGGCAGGCACTATTCTGAGTGTTTTAGATACTTAACTCATTTAATACAGTAGTCCTATCAGGTAGGTTCTGTTATTATTCCCAGTGTTATTATTCTCAGTGTGTGGAAACTGAGGCCCAGTTTAAGTGATTTGCCATCAGTTCCAGAGTTGGCAAGTCGCTGAGCTGAGCTGAGCTGAAAGCCCAGACATTTGTTTCCAGAGTATATGCTCTTGGCCACTATTTCGCTTTTCCCTTTTATTGGTGATAATAAAATGTTTATTCTTACAAAGTAATATTTTTGTGGTTCAGATAGCATTTCAGAATTAATCCAGCGTTTTTTGAACACCTAAATGCACAGTGTGATGTCAGGTATAGGGGGATAGATATGTTTTCTGTCCTCAAAAGAAGTTGAAAACTAGTATCACGCATTATCAAATGTTTGGCTATTTTCCAAATGACTTTAGCCCTATTGATGGGCATAAAAATGAGACAAGGGGGTCATGTGGATGATAGTTTAGATCCAAGAAACTAGATAAAGGACCCTTCACAAAGTTTTGCATGGTACCGAAATCACTGTTACACCGTTAACTACTGAGTAGTATTATTCTAAAGGATAATAGTTGAAAAAGCTTAAGATGTTTTTCTTGGTAATCAGAAATTTTGATGGAATTAGCATAATATTATTTTTAAAACATAAAGTGAACTATAGAACCTTCTGAGTTTTCATTAATACATATGCATTTTCATATTTCCTTTTTTTCACAGGCTGGAATATTTCAAGAGTTTATAGTTCAGGAAGAGTCTGTTACTTTTCGAATAAATTTAACTGTCCTTTTAGACTGTTTATCTATATTTGGATCAAGTCCTATGCCAGGTGAACCATTTTATCATTATAATGACACAAAAGCATTATACAGAATAATCAGAAAATACAGGAAAAATCATTAGAATAGAAGTAATAAGTATATCTTAGAAATTGCAAATTCATTTTTTATTGGTCACAGTCACGGATTCTAACTTTTCTAGCAATATTAATAGTAAGTGTGCGGGGCGCCTGGGTGGCGCAGTCGGTTAAGCGTCCGACTTCAGCCAGGTCACGATCTCGCGGTCCGTGAGTTCGAGCCCCGCGTCAGGCTCTGGGCTGATGGCTCAGAGCCTGGAGCCTGTTTCCGATTCTGTGTCTCCCTCTCTCTGTGCCCCTCCCCCGTTCATGCTCTGTCTCTCTCTGTCCCAAAAATAAATAAACGTTGAAAAAAAAAATTAATAGTAAGTGTGCTATGGTTCTTTACATATTTGCAAAAATATTTACATTAATTTTTTTTTAAATTTACAAAGTTTTGGGGATTTTAAATTTGAAGTGGCCAAGAGGAGACTGAATATGTCTTAATTATCTTTATTTAACATTGTGAAAACATGTGAAACATGTATTGCTTCTTTTCCCTAACTTGTTCAGAATTCGCACAGTGTAGTGGCAGGGAAAACCAGTGCTCCTAACTTCCTAATTTACTCTGTTCAAAATTTGTTTGCTCTTATTTCCTTAAGCCCTGTTCATAAATTGTCTATTTTCTGAAATGTTTTCTTTTAAAAATATTTATATATTTTATTGTTGTTAGGAATAGCGAATTCAGTTGCTATGAATATAAGACTATAAGGAAACATCAGAAGAATGATTTTCTTTCATAGGAAAGGAATCTGGAGATAATCTAGGGAAAATTAGGTTGTGGTTCTCTAGAAAATGTATTTTAATTTTATACCAACAATTCTATCATTGCTAATTATCCATTTTTCTAATGCAGCACTCCCCAGCTGGTTTCTCATAAAAGCATCTGCTAACCCTCTTCTGTACTGTGGCTCTCCATCCAGTAAGGGAAAGGAGCCTAAGATGTCCAGTCGTATTCCTCCTCTGCTCTAGTGGTTTGCAGTGTTAAAACCCACACCACCATTAACCACCCTGTCTTTTTTTCCTGATTTGATCTTAAAATTTGTGGAAGTGTACATAATATCTCCCAATAGAATACACTGACACAACGAATACACTGACATTATACTATAGGCAGTACCAAAGCAGTCCACTGCTGCGTGCACACGTTGAACCTTTAAGAAATAGCATAGCTTATTTGGCAATAAGTCTATTACTTGCAGTATTGGTCCATGTAGATTCTCCATCCTGGAATCGTAGAGCTATAAAATCAGTAAGCTGTTTCTGAGGTGTTTTTGGCAAGCTGGAAAACAATTTCAAAGAGTTACATTATATTTTGTTCTGGTGCCCCATTTTGTTACAGTTATTTTTCGAATTGTCTACACATAACTGTCATCAGTTATCCAAGATACGATCCTTCCTTCTAAAGAAATACATATGTGCTAAAAATTGGGCAGAATAAAATAATCTTCAGGAGTTTCATGTGTCATTTAAGGAGAAGCTGAACCTGTACTATAAAGCTAAGCTCAAACTTTGATTTATTTCCATTGCAGGGACTTTAACTGCACTGCGGATGTGTTACCAAGGTTATGGTTACCCTTTGATGCTCTTTCTGGAAGAAGGAGGGGTGATGACAGTCTGTAAAATCAATACTCAGGAGCCTGAGGAGACTCTGGATTTTGATTTCTGCAGCACCAATGTTATTAATAAAATTATTCTGCAGTCAGAGGGGCTCCGTGAAGCATTTTCCGAATTGGATATGACGAGTGAGGTCCTACAGATCACCATGTCTCCCAACAAGCCTTATTTCAGGTGCTTGAACACAGCACAATTATAGCTCATGTGGTCTGCTCCGTCTCCCTACTTACACATTTACTTATGATGCAGAACTTTTATTATCCAGGTTCCTAGAATTTTCAGATCTTTAGAGAGCTTTTACTCTTATTTTTACAGATCAGGAAACTTAAAGGTCCAGGAAGATGAATTCAGTACTTAAAGCTTCACAGTGTTGGTTTGTAGATCAGTAGCCCAGTCTCCTACTTCATAAACTAATGGTCTTTTCATTGTACTGTTGTAGGTCAAGTTACATCATGAGGAAAATTTGGGCTTAAACTTTTGGAAAAGGTGTTTGTATCATTTAGATCTGTTTTTCTTTCCTTTCGAGTTAGTACAGGATGCAAAAGGAAGCAGATGTTTTCTATACATGGTTCATTCACTGACTATCAGTCATCTACTGTGTGCATATTCCCCTGTTTAAGCACTTTGGAAAGGAACAACTTAAAATCAAGTTGAAGAGAAGATATGTGAAACAGCATAGAAGGAACAGAATTGCGTGCCATTTAAGTACCAAAATAATGCACAGATTCTTAACAGAACATGAGTTCTTAGGGATGATTGGTCAAGGTAAGCTTCCTAAGGAAGGGCAATTTTCAGCAGGAATATAGTATCAGAAACTCTCAAATTGCTCCTGATATTTTGAACCAACAAATTATGAAGTTTTCAGAATTAAAATAAATTTGGAGAGAAGATTTAAATATTTCTTCTCTTTTGAAATACATAAGAATATTAAAGAGTAAAGGAGCTAAATACATACAGAATGAGACGTATAAGATGTTCTTTTTACATCTACTCTAGAAGAACTGAAGGCCCCTATCATGACATTAGGCAGTTAAAAATTTGGCTCAAGATTGGTTAAAATGTTAACCAAAATGGAAATCAATGAAACCCTAAGCAGTGACATGAATTAAAATTCTGGGCACTTTTACAGTATATTTCAGAGGACCACCATTTAAATGATGTCTCAGCATAGTAACTGGATGGATCATGGTGTCATCATTCATCTCTGGTATGGGAAATAACTTGGTGGGGGGAACTGGGAGTTGAAATTTCTTTCTGGATTTGTTAAATTTGAGGCACCTATGATACTAGGGAGTAGTTGGACATAGGAAGTTCAGGAGATCGGTCTAGACTGGAAATTTAGATTTGGGAGTCAGCATCATGGCTGGGTATGGACGAGATGCCTCAGAGAAGGAGGTTACATCAGAGGAGCGACAAGATGGAACCTGGGGAAGACCAGCACGTAGGTCTTCTGTCACTGTGCTCACGTAGCACTTACCGACGTGTTAACCCCATAGCAAGTGATCAATAGATTCTTGCAGATTAAATAAACGTATAAACATTTACAAATTGTCTATACACAAACTGCTGATACCATCACGCAAGAAAAGACATGAAACAGCCTGAAGAGCAGCCTAAGAAACAAAACAGGGGAGCCGTAATTTCTGGCTGTGGCAGTAGAGACGGAACAGGACCCCGACTTGCAGATGAGGTAGATCAGGGCCTTCCATCACTCTTCAACTCTCTTGTCCTTTTATATTATTTCTTTTTTAATGTTTATTCATTTTGGGGGGGGGGGGGGGAGAGACAGAGGGAGAGCGAAAATCCCAAGCAGGTGTTGTGCTGTCAGCACAGAGCCTGACTCAGGGCTCTATCTCACAAACCATGGGATCATGACCTGAACCAAAATCAAGATGCTTAACTGACTGAGCCACCTAGGTGCCCCTATTTCTGATTTAAGGATGTGGAAAAGTGGGTATCAGAGTAGAATTAAGGCAATGAAATTGAGGCAAACACCCCTGGATTCCTTTTGTGATTGATATTTTCCAAAGCTGTTTATTAGTTGTTAGTTCCCCGGTACTCCCACCTCATCCTGGAGGAATCTTTATTACTGTTAAGTGTTACAATGTATTGTCAGCATTTGTTTACATATCTGTTTCACTCTGCGGATTAGCTTTCCAAGGAAGTGTCTTTATTGGGATCCTAATGTGGCTTATTGTTGGACCAGTGAATAAATGAGTTGCTCATTTTTTTTTTATTTTTTTTTATTTTTTTACTGTAGGTTATCTACTTTTGGGAATGCAGGAAGCTCCCACCTTGATTATCCCAAAGATTCTGATTTGATGGAATCATTTCAATGTAATCAGACCCAGGTCAACAGGTCAGTTCTTAATATATTAATCAGGAAGGTAAGGTTTAATATCATGTATCTATTAAATAAATGTTAAAACTTTCAGTTTGTTGCTAAATGTGTAACATTCTAAAGCTATAAATAGGGTGCTAGAGGATTTGGGGTTGTGAGAGTGGATGACATTTTTAAAATGAAAAATATTAGCAAATTGGACAAGTATTTGATTTTATTCTTACATTTACTGCTTGTTAGTTCTGGGATCATTTTTGTCCTTCACCTGGAGTTAGGAGCACTGCTTTAAGTGTGTCCAAATAACAACAGCTTTTTATTTACTCCTCTACAGATACAAGATTTCTTTACTGAAACCCTCTACAAAGGCATTAGTCCTATCTTGTAAGGTGTCTATTCGAACAGATAACCGAGGATTCCTCTCATTACAGTATATGATTAGGAATGAAGATGGACAGATATGTTTTGTGGAATATTACTGCTGCCCTGATGAAGAGGTTCCTGAATCAGAGTCTTAAGTATGGCATTCGCTGTGATAGCTATCTTGACATTCATGATCTGTCACATTCTCGTTCTGGGTATAGTGCTCTCCAGAATACTGGGTTTTCTGAAGGGAAGAAGCATGGAGGAGATAGGAACAAGGTCCATGTACCCTAATAGTTGCTGTGTATTTTGTAAGTAAATGTTTTCATGTAGTCGTAGATTAACCAGTACTGGACTGGACTGTGGTTCTGTCTTTTGAACTCATGGGACTCATTTTGAGCCAAGATGAACAACTTATTTAAGTAGGACACGTCAAGAGTCTAAAAATGTAAAGTTTGGTGATTCTGTACCTGAAATGTTCTTTTATTTACTTACCGTTAGAAAAAGCAGCAGCATCTGGGCACTGATTATTAGTTTGACTTCCGGACTGTGTCTTAACGCGGTGGTCCTCAGAGTATGGTGCCTGGACCGAGAGCATCAGCAGTACCTGGAGACTTGTCAGAGATGCTGGAGGGTGGCCAGCCGTCTGTAGCTTCAGTCATTTCCCCCAGGAAATTAGATGCATGTTCAAGTTTGAGAACCACTGTTTTGAAGGATACGTTTATTTTTTTGCATTTATAGCATTCAATTGCATTGAAGTGAATGCTGTTACATGTGATTTCTTCCCAAATGTTCAGAAGTTTACACTTTGCCAAACAAGTGTGAGTAATTGTATGATTTACCTTTAAAGTATACATTTTAAAGAAATCTGTGAACAAGATATAAAAGTCTTCAGAGTTACAGAATTTCTTCTCGCTCTCAGAACTGTTCAGTGCAAGAAGTACTGTAGTAAGTACTTAGATACCTTCTATTTGCTTATACGCGTCTCTCAACCAAACCAAGTGTAGAAAACCAGTTATCAAGTGATTTTGCACTTTCTTGGGTCATTTTCAATTAATTTTTATGGCATGTAAATATTTAATAAAATACAATGCTAAAATTACCTGACTTGTTTTGTAACAGAGAAATATATAACCAAAATAAAGGTCCGTACATGTGGTAACAGCTCTGTGTGGGGCAGCACTGTTGGCCTTTGTGGGTATGATAGTTCTTCATAGGAAAAAAACATCCCACTGCAGGATTCATTTAGCCTCCCTGGCCTCGGGCCCCACTAGTGCCAGTCATTGTGACCTGCGATTCTCCCCTCCCCACCCCAATAAAAATGTCCCATGTTATTGATGGCTAAGAACCATTGAATAATATTCATCAAAAGGGTATATTTGGAATGCCTACCTTAAAATAGGCCACTTGGCATTAGAGGAAATTGGTTTGGAGAGCAGTTCAGCAAGAACTTCAGGGAAATGATCCCCCAGAACAGCTGTGGGCACTGTTCCCAGGCACAGGGGCTATTCTGGTGTGTAGCCCAGAGTGACTACCTAATAACTACGAAGCCCCCCAGTAATCTCAGCATGCTAGCTGGTACAAAAAGTGGAGTTTTGTAAAGTATAGTATATGTTCAAGAAGTAAATGAATGAATCTACATCAAGAACAGAACAAATCTAAAAGATAATTATGAAAATATTTAATCATCAGCATTTCAAGGACTATAATTTTCCTTTATTTTTTAAAAACAATTTTAAGTTTATTGATTTATTTTGAGAGTGAGAGAGCAATAGGGGAGGGGCAGAGAGAGAGAGAGAACCCCGGGCAGACTTTGCACTGTTGGGGCTCAAACTCAACATCCATGAGATCATGACCTGAGCCGAAGTCAGACACTTGCCCACCAGAGCCACCCAGGAGCCCCCTATAATTTTCCTTTAAAATAGGGCAGTTACTTTTGGTTTTTGTTCACTGGTACGTCCTGTACCTAGAACGGTGTCTATTCAATAAATATTTGTTAGGTGAAAGAACCTCCATTTCAGATTATCTTTTAGCATTTTATTAATTACTATTTAATTTCAGTTACTTAGCTCTGAGTTGATCTTGATCTGAAGTATTTTTTAAAAGTTGAACCTGTGAAGAAATTAAAATGTATATTGGTTCAGTAGGGAAAGATTGACATTTTTGCACATTTAAGATCGTCATTTTAGCTGCACACATCTTTAACTATTTAGAGTTCGTAAGCTAATGAGTGTAATTCTGTCTACATCACCCACCAAGGTACTGATTTAATATAGAATTTCCTATTTAGTGGTTTCTCTTTGACCTCAGAATTTACTTTGTACAAGTTCCCTTGAAATTCCAGCAGGGGGAGTGCTTCCTCAGGCAGACTGGGACACTTTGGTGACTACAAATTTGTTTCATGTGTCACACACAGAAAAAATATAACCTTATTTTGAAGGCCTTTAGTTTTTCCTTTTTGCAGTTTATCTCATTTTATTTTCATTGTGCTTACTAAGGGAATGTGTAGTTTTTTCCTCCATTTTTAATGTTTTTCCCCGTTTGATGATACTGTGCTTCCACCTGCAATTGATGAAATGATTCAAAATAAAAACGATTTTTTGAATTCTGTTTTTCTAATAAAGTTAAGTCTTATAACACAACCACTTTCATAAGAAGCCACAGAGTTTCTATGGTGCATCAAGTAGTCCTAGTAAGAATTGGTTACAGTCGCGGAAAGGGCAGCATGTGGCATTCTTCACAGTTCAGGGTGGGGAATTTTTCAGAACAGGGTGCTCCCTTCTTCCCTTACCTTCTTCACACTGACTTCCCCTTGGCCCCACCTGAAACGAAAACTACAGGGTCCTGAGAAATTGTATAACATTTTTTCTTTTCCAAATTGTGTCCTCGGTAGTGTTTTCAGGCACAAGTCAGGTTACATGCACCCCCGAGGCCGTCAGCAGCTCCAACCTGGACTTCCCACGCCAGGAGTGGACAGAGATGCCATAACAGACAGTTGTTCCCAGTGCTTCTGCTGTGCTGTCCATGTCTCAGCCACCGCCAGAAACTGCGGTAATTAGTAATATTTGAAGTAGGTTTTATTTTTGAAATTAATACTTTGTTGATCAATATAAATCAATATAATAGTAGCGGCTCTCATTGGTAAAACTAGAGGTATTCAGGACATGTGACATGACTAAATTACTAAAGAGTATTTCCCCACCTTTGCATGAAAAGGACATAAGAGTCTAGTGAGGCTTGTGACCTGGACATTTAGACTTGGGGCCTGAGGCTTGACCCCTAAATGGTCTGGCTTCCTGCCACCTTGTCCAAGGATTTCTGGCTTCTTCTTGCTAACTAAATTAGGACAGCCTCACTTCAGGAGTATTGTGAAGTCTGCCTCAAGCCGACCTTTCGTGGGAAGTGGTGGGTGAACCACCAAAACAGAAGTAGGGCTTCACTGATCTTAGGGAGCAGTTTGCATGGGCATTTGCATGCTTGCTGATAAATGTTTATTAAAGTCTGTATGTGGGGCAGTATGATCTAGGCTTGATTTTTTTTCTTCTTTTTCTAATTTGGTAGAGATTGTAGGGAAATAACTAACCCTCATCCACCTCAAAGATTTTAGTTCCTGTTAGCTAATTTAAAAAGAATCCGAAAGTTGTGAATGACCTTGTTGACTCGGGTCTGTTAGGAACATCAAGTGTTTGGGGTAGATTATCCAAATTGCTGGTTCCCACTGAATGAATTCAGAAAGTAGCTTAGTTCTCATCTACAGTTTTCCAAGAGACAATGTAACTTTACATTAGGTTTTACTGTGTCGAACATTTCCAAGGTGGTTTCTTAAACTTAAGGATTTCACAGAGGGGCGCCTGGGTGGCGCAGTCGGTTGGGCGTCCGACTTCAGCCAGGTCACGATCTCGCGGTCCGGGAGTTCGAGCCCCGCGTCAGGCTCTGGGCTGATGGCTCAGAGCCTGGAGCCTGTTTCCGATTCTGTGTCTCCCTCTCTCTCTGCCCCTCCCCCGTTCATGCTCTGTCTCTCTCTGTCCCAAAAATAAATAAATGTTGAAAAAAAAAAAAAAAAAAGGATTTCACAGAATACCAAAATTTTAAAACTTTTGGAACCAACATAAGTAACAACTTACTATTTTCTCAGATATGAGGATGTTAAAACCATAGCTACCATTCATTATCACCACCATTTCATTAAACATTTTAACATCAACATCTCAGAAAATGGACTATTAGTAACCTTACACTGACAATAAACACTGGATATATTTAAATATTTAAAACTAATTTCAGATGCAATATCAAGATCACACCGTAACATTTTATTTTACAATGTTAATACTTTATGCTACTGTTTTATTGATACAGGTTTGTCAGTCTGGAGATCTTAAGACTTTGGGGTCTCCTAAAGTAGTAACATTTTTAAAACTTTTAGTGCCACACAAAATAGAGTCCAAATGGCCACTTCTGTCTGGTACTTTGGTTTTTTTTAAAATTTTTTTTTTTCCAACGTTTATTTATTTTTGGGACAGAGAGAGACAGAGCATGAACGGGGGAGGGGCAGAGAGAGAGGGAGACACAGAATCGGAAACAGGCTCCAGGCTCTGAGCCATCAGCCCAGAGCCTGACGCGGGGCTCGAACTCCCGGACCGCGAGATCGTGACCTGGCTGAAGTCGGACGCTTAACCGACTGCGCCACCCAGGCGCCCCTGGTACTTTGGTTTTTATCACAGTCATTGTCGAAAATCCATTTTCATCCGGATATGTGAAAATGGAAGCAACTCTTCTGAGGCTGCTTTAGTCAGTGCAGAATATTCTGGGTAAGGACAGCAGGCCCATCTCCAGACAGGGCTAAAATTAGCAACGACAGACCGGTGACCAGTTGATAAGCACTGCAGAAAAGGTCAGTGGGATATAGCTGCCTTCAGGCAGGCCTGCAACCTGAGACCTTGGTCCTGAGAGCTGAGCTGAAAGCATTCAGAACACAGCCGCCAGGAGGAAGCCTTCCAGTCTACAGACCAGGCACTGACTCGCCACTCACCACCATACCTTGGCTACTGGTTGATCATTAGGTTTTACAGACTGAGCAAATGACTGAAATAAAAAAATAATTTTTTGCATGAAGAACCAAAATGTAGTCCCCTAAGCACTAAGTGATATGGAGATGTTAGAAGACGCTTGGATCCCTAAAGACACAGTCTTTGAACTGCATTAAATCAGCTCGGGTAACAGAAACGATGAAGAGAGAAGTAAGTTTTTTATTTTGTAAAACTCACACGAATCCGATTTTTCTTTTCTCCCTGAATATGTGAAGAAGACAGTAAGGAATATTTGAGATTTGAGATTGCTGTTTTCTTTTCCTAGACACA